GTAACTCCCAATGAGGAAGTAATTAAAGCTAAAAATTATATAGAAAATCTCTCTCAATCAAGTTATATATAGAATAGTGCAAAATAATAATGTACAACTAATAATTCCAATAAATAAGTAATTAAATTTATAAATCAGTTTATATATTAGACGGTGCAAAATGATAATACGCAATCTGCTCCAAATGAATAAGTAATTAAAGCTAAGAAATTTATATAGAAAATTAATCTAAATCAAGTTATATATTCGATAGTGCAAAATGATAATGTCTAATCTGTTGAATCTAAATGAATAAGTAATTAAAGCTAATAAATTTATAAATGAAGTTATTTGTTGGATAGTGCAAAATGAAATTTTCCAATTTGATGAATCCCAATGAGTAAGTAATTAAAGATTAAAATTTTTATATAGAAAATCCATTTAAATAATGTTTGATGTTGCATAGTGGAAAATAATAATGTCAATCTGATGACTCTTATAAATACTACCCATTTTCTATCACTTCCTAGTAAATTATAAGCCAACTTTTTTATCTCTTCTTCACGTCGTCTTTTTCTTTCACTTTTAGATGGATAGGAAGAGCAAGGGTCGTCAAAAGATTGAGATGATAAAGATGAGTAACGAAATCAACCTCCAAGTAATTTTCTCAAAACGAAGAGCTGGTCTTTCTAAGAAAGCTAGTGAATGGTCCACTCTTTGTGGCGTCGACATTGCAATTATTATTTTTTCCCCCAGTAAAAAGGCTTTTTCTTTTGCTCATCCTTGTGTTGAAAAAGTGATTGAAGATTTCATTTGTGGTAATCCTCCACGAGATACTTCAGGAGCCATGACACTCATTGAGGTTCACTGCAACTCAAGGATACATGAGCTCAATATGATCCTCACACAGGTTTGAGTAGACCATATTTAGATTTTAAAACTTATTATACTTATTTGATCTTCCGTTTGTTCGATTAAAACTTATACTGAATTGTACTTATTATTTAAAACATATGAAAATAGGTCATGAATCAACTGGAAATCGAGAAAAATCGCAATGCAGAGCTTAAGGAAATACAAAAAATATGTGAGAGTAAGTGTTGGTGGATGGTCAAAAATAGGAAATGCATTTCTCATAACTTGAGCATTTAAAGACATTTTTGAGGAATTGAAGAAGAAAGTTACTAAAGAAGCTGAGATGATTATAATTCAGAACAAATTAAACATGATGCCTCATGTATTAAACGACCCAAACACGATGCCTAATGTGTTCAACGATAATCCCAATATGTATATTCAAGGAAAGGGAAAAATAAGATTCTACTAAGTGCATTTCTTGACAAAGTCTCGGAAGGATGAAATTAAAAAGAGTTGTAAACACAATGCTTGCAGTTTGTTTTATTTTATTTATGTTAGATATCTGGTGCCTTAGCATTTGGGTTTTCGTCATGTTCCTTTTCATTGTAGTGTTGTGGTACTTTCAAAGAGTGCAATAATAACATAATTTTTTTATCTATGCATTTATTTTTATTTTCAAGTTGAAATCAATCCGCTATTCTAAGAGTTGTAATAGGAGAAAATATTTTAAGTAATTTATTTTTAACTCATTAAGTCAAGACAAAGGTAATGTCTAAATATAAGAAAATATAAAGTCACATAATCGTGCTTCGATAAGAACATGATCATCTCTGGGAATACCTTCAATTATGTCACATTTATGCGAGTTAGTTTTTACATTGACAATTATGAGTCTATTTTTGAATAAATACATGTGTTGGTTAATTAACTAATATACACACATTAATTTTAAAATAATATAAATAACATTTAATTAAAAACATACAAGGAAGTACAATCTCTTGTACAAGAAGAAATATACCAACTCTTCAGTTAAATAATGGTTGGTATAAGTCATATCTTGAGTTAATCTGAAATACAATAAATGAAATGAATTAATTATATGGTAATTATGCATCCATGGACAAATTACTAAATTTCATGATCAAATTTTTATACATTGTAAGAGTTGTGATATATTTATTAGATGACACTCTTGGTGACATGTATGTTCATCCAATTTATTGATGCGATAAATAAATCATGACGATGAATGAAAAGTGTTTAGTCATAATAAATCAATTATATTGGTTAAAGTCCTATAAATAATTTAATACTAAGCCTATATGGGCCACATGCATAAGCTCCAGCTAAGAAAATTCTATTAACACATAAATGGTAGCTATGAAAATTCTACTAGTTTGATGTGGGTAATTAATCTTAAAATAAATCAATAATGAAATTAGGTAATATTCAGGGGAAATATTCTATTGAGAGTGCTTATCTAAGTATGTAAACATATCTATATATTTGGGAATATATCCCAAGTAGGGATAATATCTTCATTAAATGTTGAGTATGCAAACAAGGAAGATTTTATATTAGGACCAAACAATATTAAATAGAAATTTTCAATCAAATGGATCAAAGAAATTGGATTTTGTTTAAGCAGGCTCAAGTTGAAGTGTTATACAAATAAAATAATTGTAAGTCACCTTTTGAAAGTACTCAACATGAATTATATGAATTTCAAGTTTAATTGAATATCACATGCAATCGAATTAAAACTTTATTGTTATGAAGGTTAATCGATTGTCATAATTAAATTTAATTATTTAAAACTTTGAATTTTAAATGTGATCCAATTGATAGTTATAATTTGCAACTTAGATCCTTCCTTAATGCTTATAAATAAATTAAAATTATCAATTGTACTAATGATCAATTAATTTTATAAAGAATTCATCATAGTTTTTAAATTTTAATATATCATATAATACATTTTTATATTTTTTATTACTTTAACATAAATATTCTAAGGATTTTTATCATTGCAATTTGATTCATTGTGTCTCGTAACAAGAAACAAATAAATAAAATTAAAAGTAGGTCTCTTAACTTCTCAATCCCAAATTAATATCGCGAATATAGATACATATATATAACATAAAAAATGTAAAATTTTCAAGAAGGTTCAATTTTCATATACATCCATCTAGCTATGTATCTATAAATGTTAAAACACTGATGATTTTGCAAATTGTATAAAAGTACAGCTAAAATTTAACTTTAATTGTCTAGATTTTTCCTACCGTATATTTCAAGAAAGAGAAGATTCTCAAGCAACCCTAAAGATGTAAGTTATTAATACAGAAAAATATGTACAGGATGTCTACCTAAAATTTATTAATCACAACCTTGATTTAAATCTCCTATAAATATCACTCATTTCCCCCACTTTCAATACAATTATTTCTCTCCATTAATCTCTCTTTTAATTTCTCTCTGCATATATTCAATACTTGTAAGTATGGCGAGAAAGAGTAAGGGACGAAAAAAGGTTGAGATGGTGAAGATGAATAATGAAAGCAATCTCCAAGTCACTTTCTCCAAACGCCGAGCCGGACTTTTCAAGAAGGCAAGTGAATTGAGCACTCTATGTGGGGCTGAGATTGCTATTATCGTCTTCTCACTAGGTCAAAAGGTCTTTTCTTTTGGTCATCCTTGTGTCGAGACTGTGTTGGAACGTTTTGTTAGTGGTAGTCCACCACAAGCTACTTCTGGAACCATGAAACTCATTGAGGCTCATCGGAACGCTAGCGTCCGTAAGCTCAACATGCAGCTCACTCAGGTTATTTTAATTTCTTTCTTTTCTAATAAAATGTTTTCAATATAAATAATATATATTAATTCTACTACATGTACAGTTTCTGAACCAACTCGAAATCGAGAAGAAGCGAGGCGAGGAGCTTAACCATATGAAAAAGACAAATGAGAATCAATGTTGGTGGATGGCTCCCAAGGAAGATATGAGCTTAACACACTTCAACAATTGAAGGCCTCTCTCGATGAGATAAAGAAGAATTTGGCTAAGCATGCTGAGAAGATTATGATTCGTACCCCAAATAATCATCATCCTCATCCTCATCTTCCTCATCCTCATCCTCATCATCATCATCCTAACAATCCTTTTTTCTGGGAAGTTCTTCCTGTGGAACAGGTTTTCCTTTTGATACAAAGCCTGCTGGATTTAGTTCTAACATCGTTCCATTAAACAATCCAAACGTGGTGCCTCCAAAGTATCATTGATTTGGCCAAGGATTCTTCTAAGTGAACTTTTTTTATTTATGTAAAACAAATTTTTAATTTTTTCAACACAGTAAATGCCTCAGGATTAGTCTTTAGATTATATTTGGTTTTAGGATTTTAGCTTCTAGTATGAGTAAGGGTTTGTTATAGAAAATAAGAGGCATCTTATTTTATATTATTTGTTCAAGTATTTTGTAATCGTTTAATGATATTGCATCTAGTTCTTAATATAAATTTTCTTCCTTCAATCCCTTTGTGCTTGATTATATATATATATATCTCTCTCTCTCAAAGATTCTACTACACTATTTCTTTTTATCTTCCGTTGTGACACTGTTAACTGCTACCTATATAATGCATTATGCAAATACAAATACAAGTGCTCGTTATCTTAAAATATATATGCGTACTTAATAAATTTACTATGCAACGTGTTATATTTTATATCAAAAATATGATATTTCAGTATATTATAAATAATCGAGTGTTGTGAATATAATATCTCATATTGAAAAAATTAATTGAAAACATTACAACAATGTTCTATATTTACAAAATTTTTATAAAATATATTGTGCTTTTTCATCAGCATAACTGCTACTTATGACAGACACTGGTGAGGAACCCCAATCTCTTTCGGGTTTGAGTTTTTTCCAAAAAAAAAACCTACCCTCGAAGACAGATTCCTTCAAAAAAATATGAATTCCAATTGAGAATATTCGATTAAAAACATGAGTACCTAAATCTTTTCATTTTGTTGTAAATTTATTGGGAAGAATGATGAGATTAATGAAAAAGCAAATATAAAAATTTAGTTAGATAATCCTAAAATTTTGACTAAAATATCTCTCATGGAAACACATTTAAGTCCCTATGGATTCAAATAGAGTATAAATAATTTTGAATCAATGTAGAGAAGATTAGAGAAGATGAGCAATCATCGAAAGCGTCAAGAAAGATAATGTACTATGAAAGACAACTCACCATGTTGAAGAATTGAGCCAAATCGGAATAGTTCTATAGAGAAGCTTCATCAAAACCTATTAAATCTAAGGTTGTAAATATGAAAATGGTATTTAAAATAATTAGTAGGGTGGTAATTGTATGATATTCTGTACTTTGGGATTTTCTTCTTTAAATTTTAATTTCTTTTATATATAACTTATTAAACTTCATGGTCGTTTTGCAATATTCGCTATAATTTTAATACCAAGCTTGTAATTTTTTGTTGACTAATTTATTATTCATGTATGGAGAAACATGAAAAATATTTTCATTATCTTCCTAAATTATATATATATATATATATTAGAAAATAGGTTTGTAATTATATAATACTGTGTATTGGGATGTGTAATTCAAATTTTATTCATCCTTGCACAGATGCTGACACTATTTTTATTATCTTGTCAAATTTGATAAGCAAGAAAATGTGGCTGCTAATAACTATTTCTAAGAAGATTCATCTCATTTCGTTCTACAAGCAAGGATGATTTGGAAGTGGTAAATTCGCATAACTTATAGGTAAATATTATATCAATCTTCAAGATTTTTTTACTACATATTTCAATGAGGTGATTGTAAAGCATTCCAAACAAGTAAGTTTTTAAAGCCGATAAATTTACATAGAAAATTCGTCTAAATCAAATTATATATTGAACAATATAAAATAATAATGCCCAACTTGGTGACTCGGAACGAGTAAGTCATCAAAACCGAAAAAAAATTATATAGAAAATTCATCTAAATCAAGTTGTGTTGGATAATGAAAAATGATAATGTCCAACTTGATGATTCCAAACAAGTAAGTTATTAAAGCCAATAAATTTGTATAGTGAATTAATCTAAATTAAATTGTGTATTGGATAGTGGAAAATGATAACGTTAAACTTAGTGACTCCAAATGAGTAAGTAATTAAAGTTAAGAAATTTATATAAAAAATTCACCTAACTCAAGCAATGTGTTGGATAGTGCAAAATGATAAAGTCAATCTGGTAACACCAAATGAGTAAGTAATTAAATCCACGAAATTTTTATAGAAAATCTACCTAACTTAAACTATAGGTTGAATAGTGCAAAATGATAATGCACAGCTTGATGATTCCAAATGAGTAAGTAATTAAAGTTAAAAATTTTATACAGAAAATCCACCTAACTCAAGCTATATGCTGGATGATGTATAATGATAATGCTCAATCTGGTGACTCCAAATGAGCAAGTAATTAAAGCTAATAAATTTATGCAAAAAACCCAAATAGGTCAAGTTATAGATAGTGCAAAATAATAATGTCTAACCTGATGACTCCAAATGAGTAAGTAATTAAAGGTAAAAATTTATATAGAAAATTCATCTAAATCAGATTATATGTTTGATAGTGAAAAATGATAATGCCTAGCCTGGTAACTCTAAATGAGGATGTAATTAGAGGTAAGAAATTTATATAAAAAATCTCTCTTAATCAAGTTAAATATTGAATAGAGCAAAATAATAATGTCCAGCCTGATAATTCCCAATAAATAAGTAATTAAAGTTAAGAAATTTATAAATCAGTTTATATATTGGATGGTGCAAAATGATAATATGCAATATGCTCCAAATGAATAAATAATTAAAGTTAAAAAATTTACATAGAAAATTAATCTAAATCGAGTTATGTATTTGATAGTGCAAAATGATAATGTCTAACCTGTTGACTCCAAATGAATAAGTAATTAAAGCTAATAAATTTATAAATCAAGTTATATGTTGGATAGTACAAAATGATATTTCCCAATCTGATGAATCCAAATGAGTAAGTAATTAAAGATTAAAAAATTTATATAGAAAATCCATTTAAATAAAGTTTGATGTTGCATAGCGCAAAATAATAATGTCAGTCCGACGACTCTTATAAACACTACACATTTTCTATCAGTTCCTAGTAAATTATAAACCAACTTTTTTATCTTTTCTTCACATTGTCTTTTTCTTTCACTTTAAACAATGGATAGGAAGGGCAAGGGCCGTCAAAAGATTGAGATGGTGAAGATGAGTAACGAAACCAACATCCAAGAAACTTTCCCAAAACGAAGAGCTGGCCTTTTTAAGAAAGCTAGTGAATTGTCCACTCTTTGTGACGTTGATATTGCGATGATTGTTTTTTCCCCAGGTAAGAAGGCTTTTTCTTTTGGTCATCCTTGTGTTGACAAAGTGATTGAATATTTCATTTGTGGTAATCCTCCATGAGATACTTCAGGAGCCATGACGCTCATTGAGGCTCACCGCAACTCAAGGATACATGAGCTCAATATGATCCTCACACAGGTTTGAGTAGACCATATTTAGATTTTAAAACTTAATATACTTATTTGATCTTATTTTTGTTGGATTAAAACTTATACTGACTTGTACTTATTATTTAAAAAATATAAAAATAGGTTATCAATCAATTGGAAATCGAGAAAAATCGCAATGCGGAGCTTAAGGAAATACAAAAAAAAAATGTGAGAGTAAGTGTTGGTGGATGGGTCCGAAAAAGGAAATGAGTTTCTCACAACTTGAGCATTTAAAGACATCTCTTAAGGAATTGAAGAAGAAAGTTACTGAAGAAGCTGAGACGATTATAATTCAGAACAAATTAAACATGATGCCTCATGTATTGAACGACCCAAACGCGATACCTAACGTGTTCAAGGATAATCCCAATATATATATTCAAGGAAATGGGAAAAAAAGATTCTACTAAGTGCATTTCTTGATTAAGTCTTGGAAGGATGAAATTAAAAAGAGTTGTAAACACGATGCTTGCAGTTTGTTTTATTTTATTTATGTTAGATATCTGGTGCCTTAGCATTTGGGTTTTCATCATGTTCCTTTTCATTGTAGTGTTGTGGTACTTTCAAAGAGTGTAATAATAACATAATTTTTTTATCTATGCATTTATTTTTATTTTCAAGTTGAAATCAACCAACTATTCTAAGAGTTGTAATAGGAGAAAATATTTTAAGTAATTTACTTTTAATTCATTAACTCAAGACAAAGGTAACGTCTAAATATAAAAAAAAAGATATTAAAGTCACATAATCGTGCTTCGATAAGAACATTAATCATCTTTGGGAAAACCTTCAATTATGTCATATTTATGCGAGTTAAGTTTTTACGTTGACAATTATGAGTCTCTATTTTTGAATAAATACCTATTTTGGTTAATTAACTAATATATATATACATCAAATTTAAAACAATATAAATAATATTTAATTAAAAACATACAGGGAAGTACAATCTCTTATATAGTAAGAAATATACAAACTATTCAGTTAAATAATAGTTGGTACAAGTCACATCTTGAATTAATCTAAAATATAATAAATGAAATGAATTAACTATATGGTAATTATGCATCCACAGACAAACTATTGAATTTCATGATCAAATTTTTATACATTGTAAGAGTTGTGATACATTTATTAGATGACACTTGATGCGATAAATAAATCATGATGATGAGTCAAAAGTGGTTAGTCATAATAAATAAATTATATTGGTTAAAGTCCTATAAATAATTTAATACTAAGCCTATGTGGGTCACATGTACAAGCTCCAGCTAAGAAAATTGTTGTAACACATAAATGGTAGCTAAGAAAATTCTACTACTTTAATGTGAGTAATTAATCTTAAAATAAATCAATAATGAAATTAGGTAATATTCACGGGAAATATTTTATCGAGAGTACTTATCTAAGTATGGAAATATATCTATATATTTGGGAATATGTATCCCAAGTATGGAAAATATCTTCATTAAATGATAATTGTTTATTTAACTTATTCAATTGTATGAGATATAATTTATATAAAAATTCCCTAAAAAATGCATGGAAGTTTTTATATTAGGACCAAACAGTATTAAATAGAAATTTTCAATCAAATGGATCAAAGAAATTGGATTTTGTTTAAGCAGGCTCAAGTTGAAGTGTTGTACAAGTAAAATAATTGTAAATCACCTTTTGAAAGAGCTAAACATGAATTATATGAATTTTAAGTTTAATTGAATATCACACGCAATCGAATTAAAACTTTATTGTTATGAAGGTTAATTGACTGTCACAATTAAATTTAATTATTTAAAATTTTTAATTTTAAATGTGATCCAATTGATAGTTATAGTTTAATTTGCAACTTCGATCCTTCCTTAATGCTTATAAATAAAATTAAAATTATCCATTGTACTAATGATCAATTAATTTTATAAAGAATTCATCATAATTTTTAAATTTTAATATATCTTATAATACATTTTTAAATTTTTTATTACTTTAACATAAATTATCTAAGAATTTTTATCATTGCAATTTGATTCATTGTGTCTCCTAACAAGAGATAAATAAATAAAATTAAAAGTAGCTATCTTACCTTCTCTATCCCAAATTAATATCGAGAATATATATACATATATATAACATAAAAAATGTAAAATTTTCAAGAAGGTTCAATTTTCATGTATATCCATCTAGCTATGTATCTATATAAGTTAAAATAATGATGATTTTGCAAATTGTATAAAAGTACAGCTAAAATTTAACTTTAATTGTCCAGATTTTTCCTACCATATATTTCAATAAGGAGGAGATTCTCAAGCAACCCTAAACAAGTAAATTATTAAAACAAGAAAATATATACAGGATGTCTACCTAAAATTTATTAATTCACAACCTTGATTCAAATCTCCTATAAATATCACTCATTTCCCCCTCTTTCAATACAAATTATTTCTCTCCATTAATCTCTCTATTAATTTCTCTCTGCACATATTCAATACTTGTGACCATGGCGAGAAAGAGTAAGGGACGACAAAAGGTTGAGATGGCGAAGATGAATAATGAAAGCAATCTCCAAGTCACTTTCTCCAAACGTCGAGCCAGACTTTTCAAGAAGGCGAGTGAATTGAGCACTCTATGTGGGGCTAAGATTGCTATTATCGTCTTCTCACCCGGTCAAAAGGTCTTCTCTTTTGGCCATCCTTTTGTCCAGACTGTGTTGGAACGTTTTGTTAGTGGTAATCCACCACAAGCTGCTTCTGGAACCATGAAACTCATTGAGGCTCATCGAAACACTAGTGTCCGTGAGCTAAACATGCAGCTCACTCAGGTTATT